ACGCCTGGCGGAAGCCCCTTCATCAAAGTTTGCGAAGGTCGCCGTCCCAGCGGCTTCCCACCCTCATTCGCCACCCCCAACATCACCAGGATAAATGACCCTACTGCATTGTTTTCTTTTATTTTTGCCAATGTTCACTCAATTGTTTCCAGAAAACGCCTTTCTTATGTGCAATTTTTGACCCGCTCAAAACATTTTGATTTCTTAGCGTTTTGTGAAACCTGGCTTAACGATTCTTGCCCCTCTTCCCTTTTTGATCCTTCATCTAATTACTCAATTTTTCGTTGTGACCGTAATAGCAATACTAGAGTTCGTGGCGGCGGCGTTATTCTTTTATCTCGCGCAAAATAATTTCAAATCTTGTTTTGAGTACGAGTCTTTCTGGATGTGACATTCTGATTGTTGATTTTAATTTAGGTAATACTGCTTTCCGTTTATTTGTTGTATATCGTGCCCCAGATGTTAACACTTTAGATACCATCAGCTTTTTTAACCTGTTAGATCAATATTTTGACCCTTGTAAATCTAATTGCTTTGCTGGGGATTTTAATTTTACCATCTTATCTTCTCAAAAACAAAATTGTCCCCTAAATCTCTCTCGATTTCCTCATTTGTCTAGATTTCTCATGTCAAATAGTCTTAAAATTTTAAATAACTTCCCTACTTTTCGGAGAAGTGATCATGTTCTTGATTTAATCCTAGCCGATTCGCCTCATCTTTTTTCTGAAATTTCCCCTCTGCCACCTATTGGAGGCTCCGATCACTTTGCTTTGACCTTCCGTTTTGTTGTAAATCCTATCGTTTCTCCCATAGGCGCCAATCCTATTCGTGCTTATTGGAGAGGTGATTTCAATGCTATATCGTTTTCTTTAGTAAATTTCAATCTCCTCTTCAGGCCTCGATTCGACACGGATATCAACGTATGCTACGCCCTCCTCACTGATACGATGCACAAATTGCTGATTGAACACATTCCGCTCTCGACCAAAGGTAGCTTTTTTCCTCCGCCTCATATTACTCGAGCAAAGGTTAGGTTAGAGAAAGCTTGGCATCTTAGGCATACTCCCTTTTATGCGCGTTTAGAATATACTTTGCGTAAGCAGGTGATGAAATTTGAGGCAAATATTGAACGCAAATGCGTTTTTAGCAATAATCCAAAATCTTTTTACTCTTATATAAATTCTAAAATTAGTTCAAATCACGATTCTTCCATTAAATGTATAATTAATCCTTCTTCCAATTCTCTTATAGACAACCCTTTAGACATAGCAAACTCTTTTGCAACTTATTTCGCCAGCGTTTTTTCAATTGATAACCTCAGCGCTATTCCTCTACTCCCAAATCGCCATTCAAACTGTCCCGCACTTATTTTCACTCCTACTCTTGTTGAAAAAGCTATAACCCAACTTTCAAATAAAATTTCCTACACCCCCGATGATATTCCCTCTTTTATCATTCGCCAAACCAAATATCATATTTCCCCCATCCTTGCAAAAATTTTTAATGTTTCTCTTTTAAATTCTTCTGTCCCCACTGACTGGAAAACCGCCGTAATTTGCCCTCTTTTCAAAAAAGGCGATCGTAAGCAACTTGCGAATTATCGCCCGATCGCTTTGACCTCATCTATATGCAAAATAATGGAAGCTATCATTAAGGATCACATTACCACTCATTTGTTAGAGAACAAAATTCTTAACCAAAATCAGTTTGGTTTTCTTAAGTCTAGGTCTACCTCTGATCAATTAATTTTGTCAATTCACGACTGGTTGTGGGCCAAAGCGCGCAAATCTCAAACCTGCTGTATTTTTATTGATTTTGCCAAGGCTTTTGATTCTGTAAATCATCGATTCCTTCTAGCCAAGCTTAATTCCTTAGGTATTTCTCCGCTTATAGTTAAATGGATCGAAAATTGGCTTTCCTGTCGTACTTTCCGTGTTCGTATCGGTGATACACTCTCAAACGAGTTTACCATCTCTAGTGGTGTTCCGCAAGGGAGTGTTTTAGGCCCTCTACTTTTCCTTATTTATATCAACGATATTCATAGTTCTTTAACTCCCGGTACCATGGTGCGTCTCTATGCAGATGATTTAAAACTTTATCGCAAAATCCCCCGATCAAACACCCAATATGGTCTTTATTATCTTCAGAGAGATTTAGAGTCGATCCTAAAATGGAGCATAACCTGGCAGCTGAAAATTGCCGTCGAAAAATGTAGACAAGTAACATTTGGTCCTTCCCATTTTACTCTTAAGTTAGGGAATATCACTTTATCTGAAGCCACTTCTGACGACCCAATCAAAGATCTTGGTGTTTTACTTGTTCCCTCTCTTAAATTCAACACTCATATTGAACAGATGGCAAAAAAAGCTTTTCGCATCTCAAACCTTATACTTCGCGCTGTTTGTTTTCCCTCAATTGCTACTTATTGTAAAGCGTTCATTACCTACTGCCGCCCTTTGCTCGAGTACGCCACTTTTGTTTGGTCTCCCTGCCTCCAAAAGTTAATTTCCTTGGTTGAGAGCGTTCAGCGTCGTTTCAGTAGGAGGGCGTATGCCCGTTGTTTCCCATCGAAAGAAATTCCTTGCTATTCTGATCGACTTGCTCTTTTTGACCTTAAACCCTTATCCCATCGCCGCATTTATTTTGATTTGGTCTTATGCTATAAAATCATCTTCTCTCCTAACTCTCATCCGGAACTTAAAGGACTCTTTAAGATTTCGAATCACGCCAGAAGAACTCGTAGTCACAACTTTCAGATTACCCCCTTTCAAAGCTTTCATAACCGCCAACTGTATCATTCTTTTGCTTGTCGTGTTCCTCGTATTTGGAATAAGTTACCTTGTGATATTTTTTCGTCTCTGAACTATTTTAAATCCTCAATATATAAGCTCGATCTTGTAGCTCTGTCAATTTTAAATTAGTTTTTAATGTCATATATACACGTGTCTAATTGTAGTTGTGTTTGTATATCAATTATCTTTCTTCGTCTACGCTGTTCAATCTGTTTGCATTGTCACTTTTCCTTGTCGGATAAAGTATATATACATTCGTTTCAAGACCAAATCCTATTTAGGACCAAATGAGATCCTCCTCAGGACCGGATCAGATCCTTACGATCATTTTCTACAACAAGTCAACCACAAACCACTTCATAATGCTGCAGCTTTCCGTAATAAGAGCCTCGATTTATGGTCGCTTTTGCGCTCTTCGAAATCAATTCTTTTGTTGTCAACGATTTCTCATCGATTTCCCATTGGCTCCCCGAAACGGAACTGAAAGATTTTTGCTAAAATTAATGGAAAACGTTTTGCAAACGCTTTCTCGTGAGCGCCGAGCACGCCTTGTTGATTGTGGGCCAGACGATCGTTTTCTTTTGTGCTTTTTTGAGCTTTTTTGAGTCGAAATCGAAGTAGGAAGCTGAAATTTGCTAATAATACAGGGTTCGGCATAATGCTGCACGCTACAAAAGTATGATTTCAAAAACAAAAAGAGCTGACAGTTTTCTCATTTAGATATTCAAAATCTACGGACATTTTTCCCCTCGATTCATGAGTTTGTGTAAAAATTTAGAACTTCATTCGCTTCATATAAGACTTTAAACGCGATTGCTGCTCTCGAAAAAATGAGATTTGTCAAAAATGTGCCCAAGATAACCTCGCGTTTGCAATAATGAAGCTCCAAAAACATTTACTTTACTTAGTAATTAACTCTAAAAACGTATTAATGCAGAAAAAGACGCAAAAAGATTCTTTAGAGGCCCCAAACTCGAATTTAACTGTTTTTCAGCATTGTGCCGCATAGCATTTTTTGTACTCGGCTAGGGCTGTCAAAGTCATTAAAAATGTTACGGTTCTTCAATTCTATGTAAAATTACGCATCGATTTTTATGATTAATCGTGGTTTTTCAGCTTAGGCTAATGTATTAGTCTTAGAAAGTCAAAAAGATGCATTAAGCGCAACACAATATATGTCGCACCCTGTATTTACAACTCTACAGATATTCACGTCGAGGGCTAAACTTATACCAAGCTTGTTATGAGGGTTTGAAGCAGCTTTTTGAGAAACTGGGATCTTTAGGAAACCGGGACCGGTCCATTCACATGCTTGACTTACACGAATAAAATCTTCAACAAATAAGCCGACACACAAATCGGGATCAGCAGCAACAAGTAGAAACTGGCGGTGGCGATTCCGGGACGCCAAACTGTTTGGGCTTGAAATGAGCACAACTTCTCGTCGGTGACACTCGCGTTGAGGACGAAATTAGCAAAGAACGAGTTGTCGGATCGGTTCGGATTCGCCGTCCACCACAACTGAAATTGAAAACAGTTTGAGGTTTATAGATTTACTTTTTTTATTCAAAACTCAATCATGAAACTTCTCCTTGAACAATAAGCTTTCTGCTTTTGCGAAGATTCCTTTCTTGAGAGCTTTTTCACGAAGTGACGTAAATAGTGTGAAGATTTTCTTTATCAATGAAAGAGTGGAGAAATTTTAAAGACGAAAGCGTTGACGGGTTTGCGTGTTTTGTGAGCTGTGATGTCGACTAATGGATCGCAAAGCAAAAACATTGCGTCAAGGCTTTTGCTTTTGAGTATTTTGAATAGCATATAACAGGTTGCAGAGTTCAATTGATAAGAAAATTGAAAGAATTATCTAATTGATAAGAAAACTCTTCAGAACTCTAGAATTTAGACTAGATCCCAGAATTTTGGTGTGTAGACGTCAATAGGTGTCAAACGGAAATCACACATTGACCTCCTTAAAGCCAACTTTCTAACGAGTTCTTTTCATCATTGAATAGAGCTATTGAAATGATATTTAATGGTACAAATAATTGTGGAAAGGTTCGGGAAATCATTATAATTTAGACTATTGATCTATCGGTTGTCAAAACCTGAATAGTGGTGGCCACGAAATAGCAGTTTTCACTTGGACTCGTTTCGGTGATTCTGAACAAAAAGAGACACTTGTTTTTCACCAAATTTTCTTCAAACTCAAGAGTTTTGTTGAGTAGCGGCTGGTCGTGGAAACGATTCGTGATCGTAAACTCGAACCGCAACGATCCACCGGTGATTTGTTGGATTTGTGGTGAGACGAAGAAGAGCTCGTCTTAACTCGTTTTGTTTTGATAAGAGTTAAATGTTTTGATATCAATTTGTTGTCGAAGTCTAATACTTTCGAAATTGATTATGATAATTGATGGGAAAACAAACCATTCAACGGGGTCAGCTCATAGATGACATTTTTGGGCTGCATTGAGTAATCGGGCCATCCATCGCTCTTTTCGATGAACACGAGGGGAAGGGATGCATTTAGATAGATGAAATCAATTGATTGGACAAAGTAGAGAGAGAAAAAGTTGAAGAGAGGAAGAAGCTTCAATCGATTGATCATTTTGTTGGTTGGTTAGCGGGGAATTGGTGAAGAAGTGTTTTAGAAGTGAGAGAGAGGGTGAAAGCAAAAATGATAAGTACTAAGCTTTTGCTTTGAGGAAAAAGGAGGATTATTGATGGGAGAGAGTTTTGGGTTGTTGGAGAGTTTTTCTTAAATCATCACCATGCTAAAAATACCCAAAACTTTTCTTTTCTTTTCAAAACGGGTTGATTGATTAGGTGAGGTGATCTTTGACGTTCTTTGACGCTGTCAATTTGCGGTATTCGCAATTTAACACTAAAACAACATATCAAATCGAATAGTTTCGCCCATATTACATTTATAGAGGCAACTGTACAATAGATTTATACAAAACACCTAGAAATCTTAGCTACAGTAAGACGACTTCTTCAGCTATTCACTTCGAGCTTCTTTAAGGCACGGATAAAGCTGTTGTACTTGCGACAAAAAGTGGAACGATCATCACCAAACTGTTGATGCCAAATGAAATCGTCCAAGTAGTCGGTGTATCGATCATTGCTTCGAGTGTTGATGCCATGTTTGGCTTTGATCATCTTTTTGAACCAATACCACTGGCTCTCGACGTTCTGTGTGTGTGATCCGGTCATCGGGTTCACGAAATTGATTTGATGATTGACCGTGAGGTAGGTTTGAGGCAGCGGACTTCTTCACCGCAAAAGAATGTGTCTAAACTGTCGAAACGACGACAGGAAGCGTTACGTTACCCGTTAGGCTACCTCGCTACCTCGCAAAAAAGCTAGGACAGCAATTGTTGCTCGTTTATGTGAAACTATTGATTTTCCCCCTGATTTCGTCCCAATTCTGTCCAATCTGGCTCTCACGAACGGCCCCGATCACCTCGGTGTCGAGACAGGAAATTTTTCCCGGCTTAAATTGGACAGTTTTCAAGGTTCGCGCAAAGGTTATTTGCAAGTAAAATGGCCATGACACTTGTGTTCTTTTTCAAAAACGAATGGCCGAATGAGCTTAACTCTTTCGAACTTTTAGCCATGTAAAGGTAAGAAACGTATGACGCGTCACTTTCGGCCCCCAAAGAAAATCGGTCGGCTTACGTCGATAATTCCCGGTCTTTTCCTGGACAAGGGGGTTTTCAGAAAAGCATTCAAAGCTTTTTCGTATAAGTTTTGACAAACAAAAAATGTTTTATCAAAATTGGGGATTGTTTTATTGAAAAAAATATAGCATGCCTTCAAGATTAGAATTGTTTTTTAAAGTTATTTGAGGCCTTGCTAAAAACAACTCTTCAACAATTAACTTTTTAACACCGCCGCTGTACTCTCTGACATTATGTATGCTTACAATTTGCTTAAACTGAGTCACAAAGACACAAAGGGGGGCACATTCGATTTTCGATTATATGGGGCATTCGATCATGAGAATCTCAAAAATCAACTTGGGTTTAGATGTTTTTGTGTTAGTTCTTGAAATACTGATGCTTTACACAGCCATATCCGTCGTAAGTGACCTATTTGGCAAAACTTGCAAGTTTGGCTAGTGAGCCACTTGCAAGTAAGGTCCAAGTGGACGCTTGTGAAACCCACTTGCCACTTGCGCACTTGCAAGTGGACGTTGGTGAAAGTCACTTTTCGCAAAAACTTGCGCACTTGACCCCCACTTGCAAGTTTTGGCCAAAAACTTGCAAGTGAAGAAGTTGGTGAAACCGGGCCCAAGACAAATACATATGCAATCTTGCCATTTCAAATCGAAAGAACTAAACAAACTTGTTTGAATAAAATGTGTTTTTGCAGCTGTGTTTTTGGAAAATTTCAAGAGACACCAAGCGACACAAAAGAACCAAAAAACTAAACTAAAATTGTTTGGCCAAGCTTTGTTTTCATGTTCCCTCTCTGATAATGGAATATGCAATCGAAACACCGTTCCAATCGACGATTTCATTCTTCTTTCTTCTTCCAACTTTCAATTCTTCCAACTTCCAGCTTCCAACTTCCAGTTTGAGAAAATTCAAAGTCATCAAAGGAATCGCCATCAAGTGCTCTGCGATTTCTGCAGCTAGTACATGAAAGAAATCTAGTTTGAAATCAAAACAGGAAATCATTTCGTTAGCTTTGTAATTTCTAGGATGATCCAGTAGGATCAATCGGCCATCGTCTTCATTTTTGAAAAAATTTGGTAGCACAAGAAAGGCAGTTAAAAGAATTAGCAGTTTGGGCAAGTTTTCAACACTGAATTTAAATGTTGGAATGTACGTTACTCAAGAGGACTTTGTTCCATTATTTACGAGTCGACTCCAAGAAATTACTCGTAGAAAATAAGTGCAGCTTTCCCCTAAAATCAGTCAAAAATCAGTCAAGAAAATGAAAGTGAAATTAGGTTGGGGCTGGAATTTTCCCATGTCTAGTCTACAACTTAGCTGACAATAAATAATAGTGATAAATATTGAGTTGGCAAAAAAAAGTCTTCGGAACGATTTGAACTCGGATTTCGCAAAAACCAAATCCACGAATTCAAGAACACTTTATTCTACTATTTACAAGTCGACTTCAAGAAATTACTTGTAAAAAAGGAATGAATAAAATTGTGCTTTTACTACATACAAGTTTTGTAGTTTGAAAACAGCTGAGAATGGAAGCGTGACTGGTCGGATTGGGCTCATTTGAGGGCCTGAAAAATGGACTATAAAACTCCAATCAAAGATCTTTTGGTACAGAAATGTAGACAAGAATTCAGGCTTCAATTCTCTATATAACACTTAGGCTTTTGAATTGATTGCGACGTTTGGCATGAAATCTGCTGAAAAGATGTTTCCGTGATTTTAGCGCACCTTAAAATTTCCGGTCCCAACGGAGACTACCACATTATCATGGCTTTCAATTAGCAAACAATTTTCCCGATTTGTTGGAACGATTATCGATCATCCACTATATTTTAGTTTCCAAGAATTTTGACTGCTATTTTAGCGCCGATTTGATGCTTGATTTTGGTTCCTAATAAAGTCTTTTTAAAATGTACTTGAAATATTTCATGATATGAACCAGATTTATTCACCCATCCCTAAACAAATTACAACAGTAAGAATATAAAAAACAAGACATACACACACTCAGCAACCCTTTGTCAGTAATTGGCTTTCGTTGAAGCTCGAAAGTTTTTGGGTGATCACCTGGAAGGTGGGTCGGTTTGTGAGACGGGTTTTCCAACAAGAAGTCATCACTTCCGAACTGGAAATTTATTTATAAATAGATAAGAACTGAAGATTAGAATTATCCCTTGAATAGGTCTCACATTTGTGTCGGTGTCCGGTGCGGGGGTATCAATCGAAAGCCTTTCTGCAGCTCGCCGAGCAGTCTTGATGGCTCCAGATCCTCGTAGGGCGTGTCACCGAAAGAGAACATTTCCCAGAGAAGAACCCCAAATGACCAGCTGAAAGAGCTTTTTCTGTGAAATCACCGAATGTTGTGAACTTTTCATTATTATTATTTTTATTATTCATTATTTATATTCATACTCAAGAGTTATTAAGAACTTTACGGTGACATCTCTGAAGCTTACACATCAGCTTTCTCGGTAAATATACCGAACTCGATTGCCTCAAGAGCCGTCCATTTGATGGGGAGACAGCCGCCATGCGAAGTGTAGAGCGCCTCATTTGAGCTACGACTCAGCCCGAAGTCGGACAGCTAAATCGGTTATAATGTCGATGCATATGAAATGGCTAAATTTTTTAGTCATTTTTAATGTTTAGTTTATTGCAAATCCCGATCACAACCTTAGATGTTTTTTGCAAAGTAAGCAGAATATTGCGGGCCGCCACATCACGATGGATGACATTTTTGGAGGCGAGGAACTCCTGGAATGTGCAGTGAAATTTTTGCTACTAAAAAAGGATCTAGAAACTGAAACTTCGAGAAAATGAAAATTCAAAGCAGCGCCTAACCAGTGCACTCGCCACCTCCCAGGCGATTCGATACAGATCCTCAACGAAAATTACATTGGTTGCAATCTGAAACGTATGGATAACAGAAGATGCTCATATGAAAACAAATATCTACAGTCAAACCTCGATGATATAAACGAATGAAAGGTTAATAATAAACGTTTTTTCCAGATTCGCAATTAACGAGGATTGATTATAGAAATGAAAAATTAAGACTCCGTCTTGATAAAACTTTAGTACTTTCTAGCTAATACTTTATAAAGATACTTGATGGTCGGTTCGCTTGATGCTGACCAGCTGCGTGTGCAGATTGCCAAAAGCACAGAATTCGGTCAAAATGGACGGATTGTCAAGACTAGAGGAGCATCCCAGAATCGAGAGTAGATATGGATGGAAACCGATCGATTTCATTGTGAAGATCTCTTGTAAAAAGTTGGCTCTAAAAAGTGTCAAGTCTCGTGTCACTTTTGAATGCTAGGTCCTATCACAGTCAAAGCTGTATCTAGTGGAATAAAAGAGTTTGAAAAACTTGATAGATTCCCCGTCGAATGGCACTAAAAACAATCAAATCGAATAGCAGGATGGCGAGTTACAGCTAAAAGTACGCAACCATCCAACTTCCATTCCGAAATATTATTAGGTTGATGCATAAGTCTTTTCGTTCCTTTTCGTCTGCCGTTTCAAGCCAACAAATGCACCAATTAAACTACGGTTGATTTCATTAGAAAAACCAATTATTTTTCTGCAAAATAACATTAAAACGGGTTTAAAAATATTTAATGCCTGGATTTTCTTGAGAGTATGAAGTCGGGTAGTCAAAAAGGGCTAACTCGATGATGCGGTTTAGACACCTTAGCTAAAGAAAACCTATCTTTGTGTCAATAGATAAAAGATAGAGAAAAAAAAGTTTGATATTTCGCCAAAATTTCAGAGAAATTCATTCAGCCCATTTTTCCGTAGAGTTTTTTATAGATTTTTACGAAAAAGGCGTTTTTCACTCTCGAATTTGCTTGAAAGTCAACCGAAATTCGTTTAAAAAGATGCAAATTGAACAAAAAAACACTTTTTTTATAGAGCAAACTATAGATTAATTGGTGAATTTGTTACTTTTTAACAGAAGTACGAAAAAAATGAAAAAGACTTTTGCATCAACCTAATACTAAAATTTAAAAGACGAACACATCCTGTGGAGTGGCCGGCTTTTTGACAGCGACCTTTACGAACGTTTGATTGGATGAGAAGTGCTTCTAAAAGATTTACTTTCAGCCTTTAAAAGTGGAAAAGAGAAGAGGAGGCAAATTTAGATTCTGATTTAGATTCCGGTGATTCCGGTGCGTTCTTGATCAGGCTGGCAAGCCTTTAAAGACGTAAGACTGATTGGCCTTGACCTTGATTGAGATCCTAGGTGTACTGTGTTTTAAATTGATTAAAAGAAAGAAAATGTCAAAATGTTTTTCTCTATTCAACGAGCCTCTAAATCGGGATTCGCGAGTAGACACGGCAGCGTTCCACGGTACTCTCCGTAGTACACATCGGAGAAACCTCCTCGACCGATTCGATTCGAAATCGTCAATTGCAGCGAATCGATCTCCCATGGGTCAAGGCTTCTGAATACTGGTGAAAAAGTTGAAATTGTACATCATCTGCCATGCATGATTACACAAACAGCAAAGCTGGGCTCATGCCTTCATGTGCAACAATGAAGGCTTTAATATTGGGTTGGGGAGAATGAGTCGGCGCCAAAATTTAAAGAAACTTTTTGCACCCATAAAACCTTCTTTAAATACACGTTTTGTTTCATCAAAATGGTCCAATATTTCTTTACAAAATGGCTTTTGAGAGATTCCACAAAGCTTTTTTTTTGTGGGATTTTATGGATTCCCAAACACAGCTAATCAAAATGACAAAAAGTCCGACTCATTGCTTGAACAGTTTCTTCCACATAAACCTCCTTTGGTGTTTATATAAAAAAGATAGAGCACACTCAATTACATAAGTTACCAAATTTTCAGGAAGATCCCTCCAACCGTTTACTCTAGATGACAGTTTATCGATTTTGTGAAAAAAATGATCCTTTGTTGAGTTGAGGCCCTGTTTGAGTTCTCTTTTAAATATTATTTTGTAGAGAATTAGTTACCCTTCTACGGATATCAAACGCATATCATTTGACAAAGTCTGCTATAAGTTTTAGAAATTTCTTTGATTTTCGGCGCCGACTCATTCTCCCCAACCCAATAGCAAAGTTGTTGTAATTCCTCACTTGATGTATTCGATCTGGGAACCTTGCTTTTTCCTGAATTTCATTGAAAATTTGAAAAAAACAGAGACAAACTTGCAGAGCCGGTAGGTGCAAAAAAGGAGTTGTGAAAGGAAGACGACAATTGCGATTGGAATGAAGATGTAGAAGAGTTTAAAGGACTTTATCGTCTCTTCGATCTCCTCAACAGGCCTTGTCGGTTCGATGAAACATTCCGGCAAAGAGACATTGAATGAGGTGAGCCGATAGAAAACCGAGAATCGACTCGAATTTATTGATGTCGGAGTCCATGTGTGCTGAAGAAAAAATAAAAGGATTCATAATCAGGGTCTATTTCGGGCAAGGAGCGTAACCCTGAATAACTCAAAACTTGAAATTCTAAATGATTTCAGGGAGTAGTTTGAGAGCCTTTTCTCCGAGTCTTCCACCCTCATTTTTTCTAGGGTCCTTCCGAGTAATCGCTTTCTAAAACGCGCTTCGAAGGGAAAAACTACTGTAATTTAACGGCTGTGGCTTGCGTGCTTCTCTCGAAAGGGAACAGCTGTTAGGCGGCAACTTCGATACCCGTTCGAGTTAAATCGCGTAGAGATTGTTGCCTTCACATCAAAGGTCAACTACCTTGTGAGATCTCAGAACTGACAGACCTCAGAACAGACAGATCTCAGAATTGACAGATCTCAGAACAAATGCACTTGTTTTCTCAAGAATTAAAGGCACAACACGTCTTTCATCTGTTTTTCACTGTTTCACTGTTTTTCATCAAGCCACTATTTTGCATAGTAAAGGGTAACAATTGAAACAAGTTGACGATTGCTACGGCAACTCACGTACAGTGTGTCTTAGCTTTTCTTTGGTCTTTTCCAAATAGAACACTCCCCGTCAACTCTTACCATCAACTCGTCGGCTTGAAGACACCAAAGAAATGGGCCATTTTCAGTGATCCTAAAAGAGAACAAAAATCATGTTTGACCGCTGTAAATGCACTCACTCAAACTCTTTCCCTTGTTCACTGTTGCTGTCATTGAGGCAAATGCTGAGAATTCCACCTTCAAGATCCCGAATCTCGATCATCAGTTGAGGGGCATCGGGGAGATCATCTAAAAAGCAGTCAGCAGTCAGACATATTTTATAAATTCTTAGTCAGCACTGTTCAAAAAAATTGTTGTACTATAAGTTGTTTGACTATTTTTTCAACCATTTACCAGCCTTAACATTGGATTTGTTAAATCCTTGACGCCAGAATTATGAGACACCCTCTATTCGTAAACCTTACACCTTAACTCGTGTTTTGTCTGAATGTAATGCCCCAAGGCACTCCACATAACTGACCAGTCAACGTGTAGGTCCTGTTGATTATTTCAGCCGAGTGTTCCGGATAGTCCACACTCATATCACCGAAGATCGCCGGCGCTGCAACGATCTCATTTTGTCTCTCGTCGTTTCCCTCTTTTTGTTGATAGGTGAGCGTCCCGAAACAAGTGCCACCGTGCAAACAGAAGGTCACCGTCGACATTCTCCAAAGAAGGTTTACGGCCAAATCGTCATATCTGAACGATTGAATACAAGGTTTGGCATACACAGTGTGGTGCAGAACCATACGCCAGCCTCTAAATTTCAATTTTCTGCGGTTCCCGTGCCAGTGGCAAAAAAACTGAAAACGTAGTTAGATTCAGGACAAAAATAACCCTTATAACCAAAAATAACGAAAAATAATCGAAAATCGAATGCACCCCACATCCGCGCGAAATTGCGGTTTCTATACGATCCACATGTTTGAGTATCCATTCGACGCAGAAAAATGTTCTGAATGCAATGGTGGAAAAAAAATTATCAAAATCCGTTTTGTGGATTTTTTGAAATCGCATTTTATCAAAAAAATGATCATTTTACATAGAGACGGCCGAACTCCTCTGTATTTGGCCCTCCACTACTCAGTGATAACAGAAAATTAGGAAATGCCAGGGAGTAGACTTTGTGCAATTGTTATCTGGGGTCATTTTGAGACGAAAATCGTATGAATTGGTCAACTCACAAAAAAGTTATAACAGTTTGAAGACAAAAATGACGTTTTACGACTTTCTGCGCGCTAAAACGTGGATAATACCGTAACCCTTTCTATGGCGAAGAACACAACTATATAAGGAGCGCTTGCAAAGAATTTTTTCAATTCGTTTTTTTCTTTTTACGGGCTTATTTTCTTTTTTGATGTCATAATAATTGTTTCTATTTTCAGATACCCAAAAATGAGTAGACCAAAGAAACGCAGCAAAATGGGGAAGCAAATTCTTGAAGACAAAAGAGAGACGCAACGGATGAAGGTTTTAAACGAATTGAAAATGGAAAGGATGAGAGCAAGAAGAACGGAGGTAAGTAAGATCAAAAAGCGCAAACGTGTTGAACTGTTGCAGAAGCTTCGTTTAGCCCGAAAAATTTATTGTCGCTGCCTAAAAAGACAACATAAACGTTCAACTGGTGGTGCATCTCTTCTTTCTCCTCTTCAAACGTTGGCTTTGATGTCGAAATCTAAAATTACTCGTGATGCCCACAGAATTTATAGCCGTGCCACGTCGCTTTTTGCCAGCGAGTATCAAATCGACAGGATCCGAAAAGCTTCAGCAAAACACGTCGGTTATGAGATCTCAGGGGCAACGCCATTGTATTGAAAGATCTTCATGCAGCAGTACAATATCGATTGGGCAAGCTGACCGATTCTGAAACAAAACGGTTGATTATAATGGGCGATAAGGGGCTTGACAGCACAAAGTTAACGCTTATGCTACCTGACAAGAAAAACAATCCTCAATCGTGTTATAACCACCTGATTATTGCCGTTTGGAAAGGAGGAGATGATCATCAAAATCTGCTAAAATATAGCAGTATTGTCGACAAGCTCGCACCACTCACCAGGCAGATATTTTTGGGAGGCGATCTCAACTTTCTTGCATCATCATTTGGTATTTCCAATGCGTCAACTTACCCATGCATCTGGTGTACATACAAAGTGGACAAATCCCTAAATCCAGCAAAAGTTACCACGAGTTTTGATAGACAGAAATATTCTGCTCGAACAATCAAACACTTTGATGAAATTCTGCAAAGAAAATCTGCCAAACCTGCAGAGAAGTTGGGCGTCTTTCGTCGATACATTTCGCCGATATATCGTGCATTGTGCTGTATTCCTCCTGTGTTACACCTTAAACTTGCTTTGGGTAATTGCATTTTTCAAGCTATGGAAACAGAGGGCCGTGCAATCCGGTCATTAATGGGGTATCTGAAAATAGAAACAATTATTATGACATCAAAAAAGAAAATAAGCCCGTAAAAAGGAAAAAAACGAATTGAAAAAATTCTTTGCAAGCGCTCTTTATATAGTTGTGTTCTTCGCCATAGAAAGGGTTACGGTATTATCCACGTTTTAGCGCGCAGAAAGTGGAGGGCCAAATACAGATGAGTTCGGCCGTCTCTGTGTAAAATGATCGATTTTTTTTTAATAAAATGTGATTTCAAAAATCCACAAGATGGATTTTGATAATTTTTTTCACCATTGCATTCAGGACATTTTTCTGCGTCAAATGGATACTCAAACATGTGTATCGTCTAGAAAACGATTTTTTGCTTTATTTCACGCGGATGTGGGGGTAGCGTATGTTTCTGCACCTAGGCAATTTTCGTTTTTCGGCTGTTACGTTGTCCCTATCCATGTCGAAGATTTTTGGAGTTTAAGAGTTTTTTTGGGCCTGAATCCTTAATACCGTAGCATCAACTATGCTATGCAAACCTTGGTACATCGAAAACTTTGCTTTGATTCCGTTTGTCTGGTGATGGGATCGAGCCAGCAAATGCATCGTAGCGACACTGATCGATTGTGCCGTTACCCTAGAAATTGAAGGTTTCTAAAAGCACTGACAGAACGGCAGATCGGATTAGGGTTAGGCTCAGAGTCAAACGCTCACGATGTAAAGTTCGGGTGTGTAGATGTACTTCCCACGGGGAGCAACGAGGGTTAAATAGCGGCCATAGGTCGTACTCCAACCCCAATAGATTATCGCATATTTGAGCTCGAAGCCGGAGAAGTCCTCCACTCCGACAACCGGCGCATTGTCATCTGGAATTTGTCCCGATATTTGGAGTATTTTGATGACAAGCTTCATACATGTTACCTCCTTCTTTCTATTGGGTTGGGGAGAATGAGTCGGCGCCGAAAATGAAAAAAATGTCTAAAACTTCTATTCGACTTCGTCAAATAATATGCGTTTGATATGAGTAGAATGGTTAACTAATTCTCTACAAAATGACATTTAAAAGAAAATTCAAACAGCGTCTCCGCTCAAGAAAAAGCCATTTTTTCACAAAAACTACAAACTGTGATCTAGAAAAAACCATTGGTGGGATCTTCCTGCAAATTTGGCAACTTAAGTAATTGAATGTGCTCTATCTTTTTTATATAAACACCAAAGAAGGTTTATGTGAAAGAAACTGTTCAAATGATGAGTCGGACTCTTTGCCATTTTAACCAGCTGCGTTTGGAAGTTCATAAACTCCACGAAAGAAAAGCTTTGTGGAATCTCTCAAAAGTCATTTTGTAGAGAAATAGTGGATCGTTTTGATGAAACCAAACGTATGTTTAAAGAAGGCTTTATGTGTGCAAAAAGTCCCTTTAAAGTTTGGCGCCGACTCATTCTCCCCAACCCAATAGATCCCAGTTTCCGACACTCACACATGACGACGTCGTTTCGAAGAACCGAGTAGGCGAAGAGGCAATCACAATGCTCAACGGGAAGCGTCAACCGGATTGTTGCATTCTTTCTCACAACCTTCACCATGTAGTAGCAGTACGGCATCGGGCTGTTGCCACTAGAGTGTGTTCCTTGTGTGTGAGTAATTACTCGAGTCAAATGACTAATTTTTACTTGATTAATCGACGTTTTTTGATCGAGTAACTACGAAGAATCCTCGTATTAGTAAATTAAAGATCTTAGACCGTGTTAGATGGTGGTTTTTTTCTCTTTTGAGATATCGACTTACACTCATAACATCGGAAACCTATCAAGGTACAACCTTAGTTTTGAGCGCAAGTTGATAGCTGACAAAGAAAAAAAATACCACCGTCTACCACCATCTAAATCATGTTGAGCGCTACTGTAAGTCGCCACTCGCGATTTTCTGGCCGCAATTTTTTTGCAACAATTCTCGCTAAAAGTACGGTAATTTTTCCCAAGCGTGCGTTTTAAAAAAAGACATTCACGTGAGAAACACACTCTACTCTCGACTACTGAATTTCTCCGAAACACTCGCAAGGGGCTCAGTATATTCATATCCGTGAATTTTTTTGACTTATCAAGTTCTGATGTTCTGAAGAAGAAAAAAACGGTTTGCAATCGAATGCTCTAGTAAATGGAAGCAAACTTTAGCCCGCGACGGCGGTCGGGATGCTGCTCTTCGTCATCGATGTAGAGCGGGAAGATGAATTGATCGTTGCACTGGCATGAGCCTTGATTGGTCGTGTCGGTGCTTGTGTGGATGCCGACCGAGACGAGAAATGAACAGTTCCCGGCACAATCGCTTGCGTGAACGGTCAATTGCTAAAGGTGGCAACTAGAGTTCTAATCAAATATGACTAGTTAAATTGTGAGCACTTGTCAAAGCAATCAAATAACCAAAATTCGTGGACTTTCAAAATTTTTAATCTGGGATCTTTATTCATTTGTAGGTTCCCAAATGTATCTTGTATTCATTTTTTATAGCGACAGCCTGACTACTCGACAGCCTGACTACTCGACAGCCCGACTACTCGACAGCCCGACTACTCGACAGCCCGACTACTCGACAGCCCGACTACTCGACAGCCCGACTACTCGACAGCCCGACTACTCGACAGCCCGACTACTCGACAGCCCGACTACTCGACAGCCCGACTACTCGACAGCCCGACTACTCGACAGCCCGACTACTCGACAGCCCGACTACTCGACAGCCCGACTACTCGACAGCCCGGCTACTCGACAGCCCGACTACTCGACAGCCCGACTACTCGACAGCCCGACTACTCGACAGCCCGACTACTCGACAGCCCGACTACTCGACAGCCCGACTACTCGACAGCCCTTTTTATAAGTTCACCATAGTCTCGCGGAAATCGTGACTGTGCTCAGAGTAGGAGGGAAAATCGGTTGTTAAAATGACCACTCGATCCTCGGAAATAACAAGTCGAAATAAACCCGATAAAGCCACCACAACGTAGATCATTGTTGATATGAATGTCAATTTTAGGCGTTCGATGTTGGGTTAAGAAAAATGAAAAAATGACTGAAAAACGCTAATCTTTCCATTTAGCACATCGTTATCAAAAAACAGACAGTGTTGAGCGAAACAATACAGCTTAATACAACTTAGTGAGTCACAGAAAGGAGTTTCTTGTCGCGAAAACATTACTGCAAAAACTAGGGAGAGACGAAAAAAAATCAGGGTTAAGGGTTGAGTTTTACTTTGCAAGATTTTCTAAAATTCTAAAAT